TATTTTTGGGGAGGTGGGCGGAGCCTCCTGCTGCCGCCACTACCGGTTCACCCGATCCAGGCTGAACCAGGAGCAACCCACCTCTGGCTTATTATCCGGGAAGGTCTTATTTTCAGGGAAACCATTCATTCAAAGTTACAACAGCACTGAAAAAAAGAGATTTATGACCAGTTTTCACACTTACCACAATTGCAGCATCCCCATGGTCAAGTGATCAAAATCTGGGTGTTAGGCAACTGGCATGAGAGTTGCAGTGTCCTGGAGTCATGTGATCACCATTTGTAAATTTTCCAGCCAGCTCCCAGCAAGCAAAGACAATGAGAGAAGTTAGATTTGCTTAATGACCATGATTCACTTAACTACTGCAGTGATTTACCAAACTGTGGCAAAAAAAGACTGTAAAATGGGGCAAAACTCATGTAAAAACTGCCTTGCTTAGCAACAGAAATGTTCGGTTCAATTGTGATTGTAAGTCAAGGATTACCAGTAATCGATGAATTACTTAGGCCAGGGGTCCCCAATCCCCGTTCTGTGGATCGCCACTGGACTGCAGCATGCCAGAAACCGGGCTGTGCAAGCAAGTGAAGTCCCAGCCACGAGATGCAGGCAGCACATAAAACCACATCCCCTCCAGTCTGCAGAATACCTCTCCAGGGAACTGGTCCTTGGTGTCCAAAAGGTTGGGGCTGCTGATTTAAGCCATTACCCGTGTAAAGTGCTACCCACCCAGTATATCAGCATAAAATACATCTACAAAATTAGTGGTCTGGATCTTGAGTTATAACCTGTCTCTGTTGTGCAGCCAAATTTGTGGATTTGTTGCTGGTTCGTATAGGCCTATTGCTCGTTTTTCTCTGCTTTACTGTTGTTTCTTTTGGAACATTAGCTAATGGAAAGATGTAGTATCTACAAATGTGGACACTGTAGCACAAATGAGGCATAACTTCATTCTGCAATTTGGGGATTCGCTTGAATGTCTGGAGATTGGTTTAACCTGCCTTTCCTCACAAACTTCATTTAGGTATCTCACATATTAAATACATGAGATGTAGAAATGAATATACAATGGCTGCCAATTATAAATGTGTGTGCCTTTGACCATTTTAAAATTAACCGAGTTAATTCTAATTCAAGCAGATATGATTGTATACACTGAGGGAGACACAAGGAAAGAAATAGCTCTAAGAAAACAGATACAGACTCTCCGCTATTGTGCTAGCTGGATCATGGAGAACTGGATAATTGAAACTGACTAGCCAATGGGCTTTCTTCATGTGGGAAAGTGATTAATGTTAAGAAATTTGTAATATAATTCAGGAAAGCTCAGTAAGACATTTCTTATTTTCAGGCTGCAGCAAGAAGGAAGAACAGGGCTACCACTGCAATCCTAATGCAATTTCAGAGTTCTGCTAATAAGGAGTTAACATGGACATTTCCTTTTCTTCCCTAAATAAAACAGAACTTTTTTTCCTCTCCCTTATCTGGGTTAGGACCTGAGCTATCTATAAAACTTGTTCCAATTACCTTTGTCTGTCATATAGGGTCAGGGTAGGCATGATCTGGACCTTATCAACTAAAAAGGCCCATGCTATGGGACTCAGAGCATGCCTTCTTTGTTGCCCTTCGATAAAATGTTAGTAAGAAGGTTCTTAATTTTTTATCATCACCCTCTGCTTCCAAAGGTACTTGGCCTTGGTCCTGCTTCCTTTAGGGAAGCTTTAAAAAGTTAACTTTTCAAACAGGCAAAGATCAGGGTATATTATTTAAAAAATTCTTTTCCCAAAGAAAAAATTAACATGAGCATTAATATATTGCTCCTTAATATTAATAATACTATTAATATATTAATACAGCAATATCACCAGAAGATTGGTTAGCTGCTTTGCAGGCACATTTTAAAATCAAACTCACACTTCTAGCTGCATATATGTCTTGGTAAGATTCCCCAATGTCTCCCTTCCCGCTTCTAGAAAAAGTAACTTAAAAAGTACACTGAATATAATTTAACATATAAGCCCTTTTTCTCATGTTGATACTAGATTAACTTTGTAACCTTTCTCTCCATGTTCACATTAAAAAGCGAAGAAAGATCAAGATGACCCTCAGGCAGCTAAATATTGTTTCAAAATTTATTACCTATGTATCTATTATAATGTTACTTTTTATTAATAACTAGTTTGGATTTATAGTAATTTAGTTGGTTAGATTAGAACACAAGTGTTCATGATCTTCGCACAAAGATGCTGTCTGCCTTTACCTCTTGCAGCAAAATAAACAAGTTGACCATATAAACATGCATTTGAAAGATGTGTAACAGTGTCCTATTAATGTGAAGATAAAGGATCTTATTGATGTATAGGGCTTCCAATAATGGGCTATCACTAGATGGCAATAAAAATAATTGTTTACATTTGGTTTTGGCTTGCTTACTTTCTTGGAACAGATCATCCCACTTGTCACACAGATAAGATGCATAAGCAAATATATAGAGGAAATAAGCAAACAATCTCAATCACCTCTTGACAAGGGTGTTCCATACAATAGTAGCTGCAACCTCCCAAGAATCTGTAAAACTTTAATCCTTTTAGCACTAAAGATTGCTAAAGTTTATAATAGATTTGGCAGCCACTTTCCCTTCCCACTGCAGCATGCTACCTACCGTAATGCACTAGGAAGGTTTGGAATAACCAATTTTGTTGTTATTTAAACACAATGACAATTAAGATTATACTTATACTTAATAAGCAGTCATTCAGTAGAAAAGACCAAGCAGAAGGAAACAGTTTTATTATATAGCCCACCATTTATTACTGATTTTCTAATATTTACTTATTTAACTACTACGGTATCTTCACAGAACTTAAATTGATTACATTTGGCTTAATCTGTGCCAGGTTGTTCAGCTTGACTCCTGACAAACTGCTATAGATGACTTTTATCAAGGGATTTTACCGATGATTATAATTTTCCTTCGCTTTGTCACAGGAACAAATAAAATCTAAATCTAGCAAAGGCCTACGGGCATCTTGTCTCCTTAGCATATTGTCTTTGCCACCCACATCGATATTTTTATATTTCCAAGCCCTACTAAAAAGAAATAAAATTAAAAAAAAACCTATTTGACCTGGGCCAGTCACTCTCTTTTAGCCCAACTCTCCTCACAGGATTGCTGTTGTGAGGAAAACAGGAGGAAGGTGTGTTAAATATTTTCCCCGCCTTGAGTTATAGGTAATCCTTGATTTACAATCCCAACTGATCCCAACATTTGTTAAGTGAGACTTTTGTTAAATGAATTTTACCCCATTTTATGAGCTTTCTTGCTGCAGTTGTTAAGTGAATCACAGCAGTTGACAGGTTAATAACCCAGCTGTTAAGTGAATCTGGTTTCCCCTTTGGCTTTTGTTTGTCGGAAGGTTGCAAAAGGTGATCAGGTCACCTTGGGACACAGCATGAACCACTTGCCAGGCATCTGAATTTTAATCACAGCATCATGGGGATGCTACAAGGATCTAACTGTGAAAAATGGTCAGATCATATTTTTTAGTGCCGTTGTAACTTTGAACGGTCACTTTTTGTAAGTCGAGGACTACCTGCATTTGTAAAAATAATAAAGGCAGGAGATACTTGAGAGGCACAAACTGCCTTTCTAGTATCTCGCTGAGGGGAAAAAATCAGGCGATTACTACAAGTGACTTTATTTCTCTCTTCTCTTTCCCTTCGAGCCCAACGCGTTTACATTAACCGTCCTTTCTCAAACACCGTTTGCAACTCAGCGGAAAGAGAAACTGGCCGGTTCTTCTGGATTTTAATAGCGAGGTCAAGTGCGCCAATAATCCCCCTCTCTCCCTTCCCTTTTAAAACCATCCCTTCGCGGGGCCTCCTCCTTCCATCAACCGTTAGATGGCCGTGTTCAAATGCGCGGCAGCCCCCCCCCCCCGAGCAATCCAATGTGGGCGGGGCCTGAGCGGAATTATTCGCATCTACTTACGCTCGCTTACACCCACCTTCTACGTCGTTGGATTTGAGCCTTTCCAACCAGGCCTCTACAGCCGCACGCGCGCTTCACCTAGGACCCCTTTTAGGCTTCCAGGCTATGTGCCTGACCGGACAGACCGGAAAGGGGTGCTTTTTTATTACTCCCCCGCGCTCGGTCAGAAACGGAGCCCATCCCTAAATAAGCGAAGGAGGTCGTTCGCTCCCGTTTTCACCGCCTTCCACCTCGGAGGTTTGAGGAAACGTCATTTTTAAACAGGCATTCGCGAGGAGGGGCGGAGGCCCCCGGCGCGAGAAACGCGGGCGAAAGAAGGGGTCCTGGAAGAGAGTCAAAACGCGCCAAGTTTCTCGGTGCGGGGGGCGACTGAGTTTGGATTGATCCAAATATTGGTGACCTCCGTTTCTCTCTTATCTCTTCCCCCTCCACCACCACCCCGCACGTTTTACCCTTTTGGGAGCGCGCAGAACGGCAAGATGTAGCGGGTGAGGAAATGCGGCCGCGGCCAGATGAGCGAAAGGAGGAAGCGCGGGAGTTAGCGCCGCCGGCTGGGCAGAAACCCGGCCTGGGGCTATGTAAACCGCCATCCTTGAGGGCTAGAAACTTAACCTCGTCGTCCTTCCTCCCCTCCAAGGGCTGAACTTTAATACCTTGGAGCGATGAAGGGGGGGATCCTCCTGCTTTCGGAGGACGTTGATGCTCGCTAGGCTGAGAGGAACGGTCTTCTCCCACCGATGAGAGCGGCGGGGTGGCCGTCCTTGGAAAGGATGCGGTGGGGATCCGCTGGTCTGGGTGGTCGTTGGGTGAAGCCCTGCCGAAGACGAAGGGGGTTGACTTTCGGGTTTGCGCCCTGTTCGTGTGTGGGAAGCAGGCGTCAGGCGTGGTGGTGGAGGGAACTGGGTAGAGTCCGGCTGAAGCGGTCTTGAGGCGGCGGGGGTGGCAACATTGCCCCGTTGGTGAGTTGGGAGCAACTATTAATTGCACCGATTTCAAAGCGCGTCCTTGAGCTGATTTCCCCAAAAAAAGTAGGGCCCGAGATGCGTTTCTCTAGATTAACGACTATAAAATGTTCTTCTCATAGTTCCTATCACCCATCATCTTATCACTGCAGAACTGTAACTTTGTTGCTTGTATCCTTACGATTTATGTTGATATTGATTATTTCGTGATTGCTTATTTGTACCCTATGATTATCATTAAGTGTCCTTATTCTTGAGGAATGTATCTTGTCTTTTTATGTACATTGAGAGCATAGGCACAAAAAACAAATTCCTTGTGTGTCCAATTGCCCTTGGCCAATAAGGAATTCTATTCCTATTCTTATAATGATATAAAATGTGAGGACTCGAACTCCCACAATGCCCCTAAAGCCGTCTTGATCTATGACGCCTTGATAAAAGTGCAGCTGCTACCGTATTTATCAGCCTGCTTGCCCTATGGGGTACCATTTAACAAAATGCAACAAACGTCTTTTGTGTGCTTCAACAGGAGTAACTTCAACAGGTTACAGTTCCCTTTCATGAGTTCCTCAACACTTTGCTGAGGGAGGGGGAAAAATGCCTGGCGTGCTGCCCAGTGACAGCCACGGACTTTCAAGAGATACGCCAGCCACAACAAAAAGCCGGCTGTCATTGAAGTTTTTCCAGAAAAGGGAAACAAAACGAGCACTGGATTTTGTAGAATCGGCAGAAAATGAACAAAAGGCTTCAGAATATGAGTCTTCTGAAATGTAAGCTTTTCAGTTTAACAATAGAGCAAAAAAGTTGGAAAGCATTTTGTAAAAAAGTTACTTCATTGCATACTTAAATGACAGTGAGAGTATACAGAAGAGGATTTTAAGCATACAAATGTAGGTTTTTCCGATCTGGACAGGAGCAATCAATTTATGACACCATGCAAGGAGGAGTTGGAACAAGACAGTGTCATTCATGAAAAATATGAAATTCATGAAAAATACCACTAAGCTGGTATTTTTGGATTTCTTGAAAGATATTAGCTTCTTGAATATTTATTTCCCTTACAGCAGGATAGATAATTTGTGGTCCCAGTGTTTCCTTTTTATGGCTTCCAAAGGCCCCATGACTTCAGTTGCTATAAACAAATACAGTTTTCCTGGTGTTTTGAGGTGAGAAGTACTAAAAAAAGCCAGTGAAAGCTATAAATATGCTCAGCACATGCAAATCCCAAGAAAATTCCAATCATATCTTTAAATTTTTACTCCATCCAGTTTTCATCATCATCCATTCAATGTAGCCCTTGATCACCTAATAAATGTTAAATTCAGCCCTGGGCCTCCAATAGATTACCTATCTGATTTATGCAAATAAGCCTTTCCTTTTTTAGCTTTGTTATCAGTTTAGATATAAAAAAATGCCTTCCTTCAAAGACTAGTTTGCAGTGTGTTATAAATAATATTAATATAGAATATAATCTGTTGAGTTGATTTTGTAAATATGAAAAGTGTATATTAATTTTTAAAATCATAATTGCTGTACTGTAACTTTACCTTGAATACAACTCATAATTGTTTAGAATCTAAACTCATATAACTGTTGTAAACATCCATGTAGTTATTTTGGCATTCATTAAAGTTTGTGTGTCTTCTGGAATGTTATATATAGGATAATATTATTAAAATGCATGCTACATTTTTCATATGTATTTTGAAATTGATTTTTTTTTTGTATATACTAGTGATCAAATAGTTCCTGCAGCACAACCTCTTTCACCTGCCTGTTGTGATAAAAAAGACAAAATGCTGCCTTTTGTGGGCTTGAACAATCTTGGAAACACTTGTTATCTTAACAGTATACTTCAGGTAAATTTTAGATTAGGTTTTTAGGTTTTAGAAATTTAATGTTTTTTGTTTTTGTACCTTATTGGATGAAGCAGGTTGGTTTTTAAAAAGCACACATGAAGTTAATATTTCTGTATTTTTATTTAAACCTTGTTTTCTTGTAAACATCCATTGTCATGATACTAATACTGATAAACTGTCTTTTTAAAGTATCTTTTTAGAGCTTGATTTTTACCCAGAAAAAAATGCTTTGTAATGTATATGTCCTAGAGACATTTAGCTATTTCAAAGTTTAATGTGCTTTATCTCTTACAAGTAGAAATATTAAAACAATTATAAAGCAAACTGAATATTTTCCATGCTGATCACCCATAATTTGCATATAAATACTTTCTGGGCTGTCCTCATTCAAACTTTTTTGTAACCACATTACTGTTCTTTTCCTTTTGCACAAGGAAAAGGAAGTACTCATTCACTTTTTACTAACTCTAAATTCTCTTCCAACGCCTCTCCCTCTCTTAGCTTAGATATCTGACCTCTAAATACAAAACCCACATATCTTATCTGTTTCACAGACTTGAACTTGACATATTAAACATAGATAATTATATAACTCCTTTCCCCCAATGTAAATGTGAAGAAGCTGAAACCCTCCTACACATTAGAGCAACACATAAGCACAATTTTAAAGAAAACTAAAAATTATCCAATAAAAATACCATACCAAAAAAAGTAAAGCATACTCAGTTTAAGAAACCCCTAAATAAATATCAAACAAAAAAAAACATACCTCTTCTTCCCAAATATGCAGATATGCATATCCTCCCCAGATTTGAAATCAAAACCTCATCACTCCAAAACACAGAAACAGCATTTTCAGCTTCTTGGTTGAATATGACTTTCCTGTTCATGCTATACAAATAATTATATAAGTACTATCTTGTCTGTTTTTTAAAAAAAATAAGTAGCTGATCACATCTTTCTTCAGTGTTATAAAAAAGTTCAGTAACAGAATGAAGCTATGTCATCAGAGACATAAATACTGTGCAAAAGTTGTAGGCAGGTGTGAAAAAATGCTGTAAACAAAGAATGCTTTCAGAAATATAAATAANTTCGTTTAGTGACTGTTCAAAGTTACAATGGCACTGAAAAATGTGACTTATGTCCCTTTTTTCATAGTTACAACCTTTGCAGCATCCCTATGATCATGTGATCAAAATTCGGATGCTTGGCAACTGGTTCATATTTATGACAGTTGCAGTGTCCCAGGGTCATGTGATCACCTTTTGCGACATTCTGACAAGCAAAGTCAATGGGGAAGCCAGATTCACTTAATAACCAACTTACTAACTTATCAACTGCAGTGATTCACTTAACAACTGTGGCAAGAAGAGTTGTAAAATGGGACAAAACTCACTTAACAAATGTCTCACTAAACGACAGAAATGTTGGGCTCAATTGTGGTTGTAAGTTGAGGACTGCCATAGTTATCTAGGTTCATGCACAAAATCTAAATCATGGTTTATAAAGCACACAGTATATGGATCCACATATAGTACAAATCAAAAGCCAAAACTAAACATAATCATTACTTAGTGTGATCTGTGGATCTAATCAATTCACAACTCAGGGATGATGATAATGGTCATAAAGCAAAAAAAAATATTTTATTTGTGAAAGATGGCTACTATGTATGTCAATACATGAATTAGTATTTTGAGAAAGATACTTTGATTTGTGGAGTTATATTTTTTAATCCTGAGAACTACAAAGCAAAATGGTAAGAGATTCCCACTGCAGGTGAAACACCATTGCTTTGTGGAAAATATCGTTTACATGGTATGGCATTAGTCCTTCATGAAACTTTCAATTATGTTTTTTTAAGGAATGAAAAGGGACTATGGGCCACTAATTTAATTTCAGACTGAAATAGATACAATGCATTTTTTCACTTTACTTTTTTTCCCTACTTAATCCCCTTCACCATATATTAAATTATAAGTGTCTATAAATTCAGGATCCTTGTTTATTCAACAGTCACATAGCAGCAGCAGCAGCAGAATTTTTTGACGAGCAAAGCATAAGCTGTTTTCTCAAAGGCTTGTGAAGATGCTGCAAAATTAAAAATAACTTGTTGAATGTTTTTGAAAACTGAGCTGTGTGAAAATATTGCCCTAAGTACATTGTCCATCATTTCCTTCATCAACTAGCTCTTTCATCTCTCTTCAAGGCAGGGTATAATGGAAATACAAAACTTACTTCTTCCTTGTGAATGACATTTATCCTTGTCTTAATGTAGGGAAAAGCATGGGATGTTGTCAAGATAGTCTTCCTTTTGAACTGTTCGTGCAACTCCCCATGAGCTCTGCCATCCAATGTGAATGGGGTACAATACATGAACCGCCGCAAATTGTAATTTTTGTCAAAATAAGTTATCCTGTCCTTCATTTCATAAGTATCAAAGTAGGGCTCAACGTAAGTGATTTGTACATAAGCCTGAGGAAGGAAAACAGATTATTAACAGCAGAATGTTAAAACATAACTGATTATAGAAATTAGAGATTTTATTAATGCTGGAACAAGTCCTTTCCCATATGCAGATTCTGAAACAAGCAGTTCGTGTTCCAAAGGTACTTTTTCAGGAGGCAATTGGACTTTTCCTGTTATTTATTTAAAGGCGTCTCTCCTTTTAGAGAGTCATTTAAAAGGATGCAAATGACCAGCTGCCTGCAAGGAATATAAATCCATCCATTCCCCACCATCCAGTCAAGAGCTGAAGAAGCTTCTTGAATGAGAAGCAAAACATCTTCAAAGAAAAAGCAAGAAAATTTCAGTTGCCTCCTGAAAAAGCACCTTTGGGACAACCATGACCTGGATGACTGAGAATCTACATAGACTTCAAGCAGTTCATGCTGGTTTTTAAAGGCTTCCAACACTGAAATGGTTTGTCATGGAGGCACAGGCCAAAATTTCCATACAATGACAAAAGAAATTGATGAGACAATAATACAAAGTCTTTCATTGCTATAGTTATAGGTAGTCTTCAACTTACAATCACAATTGAGTCCAAAATCTCTGATACTAAGCAACACAGTTGTTAAGTTAGTTTTGCTCCATTTTATGATCTTTACTTGGCATAGTTGTTAAATGAATCATTGCAGTTGTTCAGTTAGTAACACACGGTTATGTGAATCTGGTTTCCCCACTCACTTTGCTTGATAGAAGGTTGCAGAAGATAATCACATGACTCGTCATAAACATGAGCCAGTTGCTAAGTGACCAAATTTTGATTATGTGACCATGGGGATGCTGCAGTGGTTGTAAGCGTGAAAAATGGTCATAACTCAATTTTTTCCAGTACCACTATAACTTTAAACAGTCACTAAATGAAAGATTATAAATTGATGAGTATCTGTATAGATATTTAAAGAAGTTGCAAACAGTTACGGAATCTAATGGAATGATTATNAGTGTACCTATGAGAATTGATGCTGTTTTGAAGGCAAAGGGTGGTCACACCAAATATTGATTTGATTTAGATTTTTCTTTTGTTCGCTCACTTTGCATTTTGAAAATTGACAAAAATAAACAATTATTTATATGTCTGAAAGCATTCTTTGTTTACAGCATTTTTTCACGCCTGCCTAAAACCTTTGCACAGCGTATATGTAATGGTAATGTCAGTTTACACCTTTAAGATATTAGGTAAAAAGTAGCATGTAATTCAGGGTCATTTGGTGATTGTGAGTTTAAATACAATTTCTGGCCCCATGTTTAACTAAAATGCATATTACATTTATTTTTCATATAATGTGTTTTTTAATTCTAATTTTAGGTGCTCTATTTTTGTCCTGGCTTTAAAACAGGAGTGAAACAATTGTTTAATATAATTTCAAAAAGGAAGGAAAGTTTAAAAGATGAAATCGATAAGGTGAGATCCACTATTACATATATCATAAACTGCCTTTAGAGAATTCAGAATGATGTTGAAACAGGTTTTTAAAAGAATGAGTTTATTATCAGGATAATTTGTCACTTATCCTGATGCAATAATATGCAGGTTCTTTGTGGCTCATCTCATGAAAAAACAATGCATAACCATAAACATTAATTGAAAAATTGAAAACCATACATACTGGCATCAGTCCCCAAATGGAAAACTCTGTTCAGAAGCTTCTGGAAGGCAGTAGTTTTGCAGCCAAATGCATATTTTTGCAGACCATTCCAGATGTTTATCTGAAACATGTTCAGTCCCCTCTCATCCAGAAAATGGTGGATAGCCAGTTGCTTCTCCTGGCAGGATCAAAGCGGCTGGCCTGACTCTAGATACAGGCCTGCAGGTAGCCCTGCTTATATAAATGTGCATTTAACATTGATTGAAAGGCTGATTTACTCCATTTTTTAAATACCTTCCCCCCTCTCACAGATTTATGTCTTAAATCTGCTGTACTGTATTTTTTGTGCAAAAAGTAACTTTTGGTTACATTAATGTTACAGTAACAAAAGTTACACCTACAAAAAGACCACATTGTCAAATAACAAACTAGAGTAAAGTAAGTTTGTAAAGCAAACAATTTTCTGTCTTTATAGGAAACAACTAAAGAACATTCTTTTGGAAGTTATGAATTGGTATGCAGCTTACACACTTTGATTGTTTCAGTTGAACAGCTTCAGGCAAGCTTTCTCTTAAATCCAGATAAATACACAGATGAACTTGCTACTCAACCAAGAAGACTACTAAATACACTTAGGTAAATGATGTTTTTAGAATGTTTCCAAATATAAGAAACTGCCTATATTGAAATAGCCTTCTGTAAGCAGTACTGTATTATTTGTATTAAGGACATACAATGTTATATTATTTATATTAAGGGTATAGAAAATTTCTGGCAAATTATTAGTTTTAATAATAATGTAACTCAATGATCAGTTTAGAATTTGCTCTTTGTGTGATCTCAATGGTATAAATATTAATGATTAAAATTAATAGTAAGTTGGTTTAGGCAGGGTTTTTATAAATTAATGCACGTATAATTATAATTCTAAATGAAACTTAGTTTGAGCTACAATCTCTATATTATTATAATTACAGTTCTTGTATGCCTTGGAAAATGATTACTAAGCTTGCTTAGGCTCATATATATCCTTGTACAGGTTTTATAATTGCTATTAGATTTAAGTTAATTGAATGTATTTTTTTTCTCATGCACTTATAGGGAGCTAAATCCCATGTATGAAGGATATTTGCAGCATGATGCTCAAGAAGTATTACAATGTATATTAGGACATATTCAAGGAACTTGTCAGCTCTTAAAGGAGGAACTACGACAGAAATCACTGGAGGAGCCTACAATTCAACTGAAAAAAAAGTCTAATTTGGATGCCAATGGCACTAACTTTGAGGAAGATAACAGTGTGCTCCAAAGCCAAACTATAAAGAATTATGAAAACAAAACGAAAGAAAATGCAAAGAGGAAAAATGTTATGGAAGATGGCAATGAAAAGAAAAAATCTAAAGTCTCCAAAGAGAAAAACGGAATAGAAGAAAATTTGAGACAGACTCGGTCAAAAAGAAAAGCTTTAGAAGAAAAAGTAGAAAATCAAACTGAAGCTATCATTAAACAGTCTGTTGAAAATGAAAATACAAAACCAGTACATAAAAAATCAAGACTTAGATTAAATTGGTTAAAATCTTCCAATGACCAGCCTAGCATTTTATCTAAATTTTGTAGTCTGGGAAAACTGAAAACTAATTTAGTGTCCAAAGATCCAGTTAAAGACATTAACAACTGTGAATTTACAGACAGTTCCTTCAAGTATGAAAACGATAGCAAATCAAGTGGAGAATGTTGTGATTCCTCACTTATAAAAACTACAGTTGGAGGAAGAATTGAATGCTTTAGTCAAGGTTAGCCTATACCCATTACATGGGAGAGTGGGAATTTTACCAACTTTGCTGTTCCTAATGATCTGAATATCCTTCTGTGCCATCAAATTTAATAGTAAAAGTTTGTACTGATTATTGGCTATAAGAAAATGCAAAGTACCATATTTTTCGGCGTATAAGATGCACCTTTTTCCCTCAAAAGAGGGTGAAAATCTTATACACTGGATACAGCATTTTTTGCCTCCCAAAACTCCGCCCCCCTTCATCAAAATGGCCATGCATAGCTTGTAGGAGGCTTTCAGAGAGCTCCTGGGGGCTGGGGAGGGCAGAAATGAGTGAAAAATGGGCTGTTTTGCCCCCCCAGCACTTAGGAGCATTCTATAAGCCTCCTAAAAGATATCAATGCCCTTTTTTTTTGCTCATTTTTGCCCCCCCTCCGGAGCACTCTACAAGCTGCCTAAGGGCTATTCATGCCCTTTTTGGGGAGAGGGGAGAACTGGGCCTTTTTGGGGAGGTTTGTAAAGTACAAAAACTTTTATTAAAAAAAAATCCTCTTCAAAATCTTGTGCATCTTATATTCTGAAAAATATGGTAAACCATGTATCTAGTTTTCTTATCTCTGCACATGTACCTCCAAGTGAGATGCAGTTTTCCTATGAGTATCTCAAACATGGTTAATCTTTCCATGTGTATGCTCCACCAACATAAATAGAACTTCCAACTGTTCTGCTTCAATCATTCTCCTTTTTACTTCAGTTACTCTAACTCATTGATAAAATATTAAGGAATTTATTAAAAAAACATAATCAGGATCTGTTTTGTAAACAATCCACTGAAAGTATTTCACTGAATCTGGATTTTTTTTTCTTTTTACAGAATTGGCTATCTTCAATTTAGTGGAGAGACTCTTCCAAGGTCAATTGGTCTTACGAACCCGATGTTTAGAGTGTGAGTGTTTTACTGAGAGAAGAGAAGATTTTCAAGATATCAGTGTACCTGTTCAAAAAGATGAGATCTTAAAAGTAGAGGAAAATGCTGAAAGTAAGTAGAACCTCCAAAGTAAAGGTAGCTACATGTTCATAATTCATAGTAGAACCTTATTGGATAGCAAGTGTTACTAAAGAGTATTCAATGGACACTGAATGAAAAGTAGTTTAGATTATCTTGCTTTCTTCAGTGAAGCACAATGATTGTTATGGGATTACTTTGCACCTTTTGGGAGGAAAATTCAATAAATGGCATTGATGTCATAAGTTCTAGAACTACTTCTATTGTTTTGTCCTAAATATTTTGGTCATGCTCATTGTCTATGAGATAATGTATTTAAGCAATCTGAGTCTTTGTTCAATTTGAGTTTTGTCTTTACTTTTAAGTATCCTATTCTATTGTATTACACCATAAAGGAAGATACATAATTCTATCTTTTATGCTTATGACAAACACATATTACTGGAATGTTGTATGCATTGCTCAGTTCAGGAGATAATTTTTAGGAAACACCCCCCCCCCCCCAGTACACTAGGAGAGGGGAAATCTGAATAGGATTTGACCCAAATGTATGACAGTTTCTCAGTAGCAAAATGTTTTCCTCTTTTTTGCCCTCTCATATTTTTTAAAAATCTGTCTATATATGTAGTTAAAGTGTCTATATTAATGCTGCCAATGCAGTGAGGGTGTAATACATAATGGTAAATTATTAAATTATGGCATTCTTTGATTCAATATTAATAAGGTGAGGACAGAAACTTGACCTGGAAATTCTGAGATAAGACCAAAATATAAGACCCAATGTTTGTACTTAACATTGTTATTCTTATGCTCTTACAAGTAATTTGTTTTTACAATTTTTACTACTACTGTAATTAATAGCAATTTCTCTATGCTTGCAGAACAGTATTAAATATTGAATTAATATTATCTTTTACAGTTTCCCCAGAGCCCAAAACGGAAGTAAAGACTTTGAAATGGGCAATTTCACAGTTTGCTTCCATAGAAAGGATTGTGGGAGAAGATAAATATTTTTGTGAAAATTGTCTCCATTACACAGAAGCAGAACGCAGTCTTTTATTTGATAAAATGCCAGAAGTTATAACAATTCACCTGAAGTGCTTTGCTGCAAATGGCTTAGAGTGAGTATAGGGCATAAATAGTATGAAAAAAATCTGAATTACTAGAAGCCAATGAAAATGTAGACAAATGATAAAATGAAAATAGTTTTTTATGAAACGTTATTCAGATGTTAATTAGTATTTATGTTTAATAAACACTGAATGAAAAATAGGGTTCCATAAATTATTTTATGGAGGGATAAATTTTAAGGTTTTATTCTATATGTAAGCTCTGCTCTCTGATTTTTATTTTAAGATAATTCTGCATATAAGTACATCTTTGTTTGATAGTATGATTTAAAAGTTTGGTACAATTATTCAAATGAATTTTCTTTCTCTCTATCCTATTTTACTCTTACTCATCACCCTTGATGGCTTAGCAGAAAAGTGCAAGCTAAAGTTGTGCATCATGATGTTAAATGGGCAGCCATATAAATTAAATGAATAGTACAACCTGAATGAGTATGCTTGCACACAGAGACACACACCTCCCTTTGAAAATAAATAAAAATAAAAGGCCATTTGCTCCCAGTAGTCATGCATGTTTACCTGTAAACCTGTATTTGATTATGTTCTTTATTCAGTGGGAAATCTGTGATCATGGAATATCCACATGCTCATAACTTTCCCCAAATTATGTAATTAGAAAGACATCTAAAAATAGTTTTTTAGCTTCTACAAATAGATCAGATTGCGCTTTACAGGTGAAGAACATTTGTCCATTTGTAGTGGTATATTCTTGAGTACATAATTTCAGCAGTCTGCTGGAAAAATTAAGTAGAATTTAAAGATTACTTACTTGAATATATGTAGCATCTTTAATGAGTATATTTGAAATATGGTTGATCAAATAAGATTCTTACCTTTGATTGCTTATTATGAATGCTTGAAAGATCTATGTGGCTGTAAGACATAAGATAATTGGGCTCTGCTCTTTTGTACTATTCGTATCTGGCGAAAAAAAGTTCACAAATCCTTAAGGCCAACTTTTTGTAAAGGTGATACCAGTCTAGTGGACTTTTTAAGACATAGCCAGAAGAATGCCTTACATAGTAGCATACAAAGATAAAGCAATTAAAACCAAGAAGTTCTTAATCATGGATTTGATTTGATAGATCTCAAAGTCAGCAACAGTGAGTCTATCTGTTGCGAAAAAATTCTTGCCATTCTTTTGGCTGACAATCATAGAGAAAAAGCATAAAATATAGTATGAGGTTAATTTTAAAATATAATCAAAATATTTGTTTACATCTTAAAAATAATTGAATTAACTTTACATGTTATCATCTTCTCCAAAAGGTTTGATTCTTACGGTGGACTCTCCAAAATAAATACACCTTTACAGACACCTCTCAAACTGTCCTTGGATGACTGGAGCATAAACCCAGCCAATGAAATCTATGGATTATTTGCCATAGTAATGCACAGTGGTATTACTATCAGCAGCGGCCACTACACAGCCTCAGTGAAACTCACAGATCTTGACAGCTTGCAAATAGACAGTGATAATTTCAGCAGTGATGTTCTTTGTAAATTTTGCCCAGAGCCACTAAATGAACAAGAAGCTGTCACTGAGGACTATGATGATGGTGAGGTCTCTTTTACAGTTGGAGAAATCACTCAACCTAACAAAGGACTGAACAAAAAGAACATGGAAGCTGTGGGTCTTCTGGGCGGACAGAAAAGCAAGTCCAACTGTGATTTGCCAAATAACAAAGTAGCCCATTCTGAGAAAATCGCTCATATGATGGATGAAGCAAGAAATGCCAAATGTAACTGTCCTAAAGCAATCATGGCATTTGAAGAGTGTGAACAAACCGGCACTATGTCCACTGGACTAGACAATGAAGCAGCACATGTAATGCATTCCCTAAAACAGTATAAAGACAAGTGGCTACTTTTTGATGATTCAGAGGTTAAACTTATAGAGGAAAGAGATTTTCTTAATTTGTTGTCTCCAATTTCATCATCTACATCTACTCCTTATCTGCTGTTTTATAAGAAAATTGTAGAGTGACATTGTATTTTGATATGCAAATGATAGTTTTTGAAAACCATACAATGGGAATTTTGTAGATACATGTTACAATTATTTTCATTCTATAAAAATGGGCAGATGTGTTTTTAAAGAGAATAATTCAATTTGTAGATGTTATACAAATTGCTTTAGAATACAAGTCTGTATATATTCTGTTGAATAAGAAATGTCTTAAGAGCAAGCACTATATAACAATGATTCCAGCTTCATCGCACTACTTGTACAGTAAATATATTATTTTTTAAAAATAAAGTTGCATGTATTCACAATCTTGCAAAAATTTGTAGCTGATGATAAAAGAAACATGCTTTTTATTAAAAAAAAGGAAACTATGATTTGAGATTTCATTCCACATTTAAAAACCTCACATTCTTAACATGTTCTTGCTCTATCCCATGAACATTTTATAAGTGTTCTAATTAAGGTTGAAACAAGATGCTCATATCTTTTTCACTACAGCTAATGTATATTATGGATATTACAATATTTCTGTTTCAGTGATTTTAAGTGAGTTATTTGATCATAGTTAATGGTTAGTGATGGCATGCTTTAAATTGATTTTATTATTTAATGTTCTCTCCACAGCTGTTTTGGAAGGGAAATATAGGAAAATGCCATAGGAAACCCGATATTGCCCCTTTGATTCAGATGCTATAGAAACCACAGACTAGCTTCTTTTTTATTGTCAGTTTTATAAAGACATTCACTGGTTGATTACCTAAACAACCAAGATTAGAGAAACCAATTTCTCTAAAAGTAACAAAATTCTGCTACATTATATGTGAGCTTCTCCCGCAAATGGTACTATACGTCAGTGTTGGAAGCACTGAGGTGAAAGGATCAGACAGTGAAATTACCATTGCTTGGGGTGATGCCCAGTTGGGGGTTCCTTTTATGTCCCCATTAATGAGCCCATTTAAGTGATAACTATTTATTTACCCATATTCACACTTTCAAACAGCTAGGTCAGGAGGACCTGGAATGAATGACAGGAGCTCACCCGTAACACAGCAGCACTCAGGCTTTGAACATAGGCTTGCAAATTGTCAACCCAATGTTCTAACCATGTCCGCATCCGCAGTTATTGATATTAAGGTAAAGGTTCCGCTTGCACATATGTGCTAGTCGTTCCTGACTCTAGGGGGCGGTGCTCATCTCCGTTACAAAGCCAAAGATCATCTCCGTTACAAAGCCAAAGAACCAGCGCTGTCTGAAGATGTCTCAGGTCATGGATGGCATGACTAAACGCCAAAGGCCAAGGAAAGCTGTTACCTTTCCACAAAGATGGTTCCTATTTTTCTACTTGCATTTTTACATGCTTTTGAACTGCTAGGTTGGCAGAAACTGGGACAAGTAACAGGAGCTCACTCTGTTATCTGGCGCTAGGGATTCGAACAGCAGAACTGCCGACTTTTCTGATCGATAAGCTCAGCATCTTAGCCACTGAGCCACCATGTCCCTATTGATATTAGGGAACAATTTTTCTTTTTTGTTTTATGGAATGTGTTTGTATGGCAAAAATAAAGGGCTTTGCATTCAAAACAGTGGGCAAAGACATGCCCCTATAGATGAGGCTGTTAAAAGTTGCCAAACCTGTGATTTGGGTTTCTGAACCACTTTTTGAATTTGATGAGAATTTGTCATCAAATTCCAGTGGTAGATCATGTTGGTAATAGAACTCTTATTGTAAAACTTGATGGAGATAATTATATTTGCCTTTTTGTTCTTTTCCAATTCAACAGAATGTTGGAGACAATTTATCTAAAAGAGGGTGAGAATTTCCATTAGTCTCCGAGGTGGGGCGTGGGAGGAGTCACTGATAGAATATTGTTACGGCCCAATTGCCTGGAGACTGAGGTAAATCTGAGGACACTCCCTCTGCTCCTCCTCCTGACTCCCCAGATTAACCTCCGTCTTCGGCCTAAAAGGAGCTATTTCGTGACTCTGGATTTCTTTAAATTTCTAAAGTCACTACCTTTCTTCCTATCCTACCTCTCCCTCCTGCGCTCTCTTCCTGCCTGCGCACGAGCTACGCTCGCTGTAGATTTGCGGGCCCCGAGCCACTGGCAGAGCTCGCATGCCACCACCAACCTCACAGAAGCAGCAATCCAGCAAGGACAGCGTTGACTCCCACATGAGGCATCGCGGCACGGGNAAAGAACAGGAAGTTCCTGTTCGTATTGTATTGCATAAATGTGGTGTATGTCTAAATTTTGTGTGTATGTATTTTACATGTTTGTTAATAAAAATCTTTTTAAAAAAAGAATTGTCAAGCAACTACTCCTCAACTTATAACCACAACTGGGATGAGAATTTCTGTCAGAAATCATTGCGGTCATAAGTTGAATTGGATCTGATTTTATGACCATTTTTATGAAGGTAATTAAGCAAATCATCCTGGACATTAAGTGAATCTACGGTTAAGTGAACCTCAGGGTTGCAAGTGTAAACACAGATGCAACTTTTAGACTTGTTTGTTAATTTAAAAAATTGGCCAAACAAAGGACATTAATATCATTTCTATTTTGTGTGGTTCTAAGACCATAAACCAAAGATTTGTATGGCTTAAATGAAGATTTTTAATAATAAATTTAATTGGATCATTTTAAAGTGTAATTACTTGTGGAAATGCAAAAACTTGGTCACTCTCAAATCAGGCTCAGTCCTCATATATCCCCAAGTTTTTTTTATAAAAATGATAAATTTTACAATATAAGATTATATTCTACAAACAGGATTTAAGAGCTGTCTTGCTACAATGAGGATGTGTTCTATAGTTTTACTTTTCATTCTGCCCAAAGACTCATGAGGTGATAAAATACAGACAGAGCAATTTCCCCCCCTTCCCGCCTTCTAATGATTATTATTTAAATCTGTTAAACTAAAAAGCTATATGCTTTTCATTTCCAAACAGTGTGCTAGCTGATATAATCAGGGCCACCTCAGATTTCTTTGATCATCTGTCCAGGATCATCAAAGAAATAATTTACCATGGGAAAATGGCAGATAGTCAGCCATATTGCACAAACAAAAGTAAAGTAAAAGTACAACTCAGCTCTGTGAAGAGTATGCTGGGTGTTCGGCTACTGCTTTCAGCAAAAGGCTATTCACAGAGTTTAAGGCTGCATGTGACTTTGGTCTAGCTTTGAGTTTGCAGTTTAGATGTCTCCACTGACAGCTGGATGGATATGGTCAAAAAACAAATGCAAGAATGAGAGAAGCAGGTAGAAGTAAAAAAAACCTAAAAAAACTAAAAAAACAGGGGAGTGGCCAAGAAAGGGAGAATAATGGGGGGGACGGGTTGGGTTTGCCTCAAGATGTGTGCAGTCTTGAGTATTTAGTTCTGAAAGAATACCTCTACACACTGCCTGGGTGTGGGTACACACTGGATGGATGTCCTTATAAGCAAATTGTTAAAGAAGATGCATTTTACAATGTTATCTGATTCCAACAGCATGGACTTCTTAAAAACAAAGATTTAGATGTTTTGTATTTTCTAAATCTAAATGACATTTGCATGAGCAGACAAGTAGTCTTTGTTAAAAATATCAGTTTTCATAACTTCAAACTGCTAGCTGTTTTGAGGAACACATTAAGTCTAAGATTTTGGTCAATGCACAAGCATACAGTAGAAGTAAAATGGTATTATTATTAAAGCTTCTTCCACAAGCAATATTGTTTACATATAGAGGCAAAAAGTCTGTATATTATTATATAAAGAAAGTATTTATATATAGCCCTACAATTTTAATATGTGTATCTATTGTAATTGCTTTTTTTTCCTCTATGGAAGGAAAAATATTAACCTTATGTTCTCTAGAGTGAGAAAGTTAGTCAGTGTTAGGCAATTTTATAGATGGCATTACTTACTCCTACCCTGAAACAGACTTATCACAGAAGCAATTTTACAATTCATTTATTCCTCTAAGCCAGGAGTGGACAATTAATTTTCACAAAGGGCCACATCAGAAACTAGGAGTATTGCGGAGTGCAGAACCAATAAGGCCATGAAGGTGCTTAGGCATGCATGCATAAAAGTATTTGGGGGGGGGGGGGGGAGAGCAGCCACTTTCAAAATAAAAGCAATCCACGCAGGCTGGGCAGGGACAGTCAAAGAACGAGATGTGGCCTGGGGGGGCCATAAAATGCTCAAGTCTGCTCTAAGCTAATCATAATGTTGCCTAGCTAGTTTGGTCTTTAAAAACAAAATGGCCTCTAATGCAGTGTTTCTCAACCTTGGCAACTTGAAGATGTCTGGACTTCAACTCCCAGAATTCCCCAGCCAGCATTCGCTGGCTGGGGAATTCTGGAAGTTGAAGTCCGGACATCTTCAAGTTGCCAAGGTTGAGAAACACTGCTCTAATGTACCAGCCCACTGTACAAACCCTAAGACTGTTCTTATTTTATACGTGTAAGCTATCTGCTTGGTTACTGTACCTAATGTATATCTTTCTTTATCAGGTTTCTAAGGCAACATTCCCTAACAATTTGGAACAGTGAATCTGTTGCTGCTCCAAATCTTGCTGAATTTCTGGGCTTTAGATTCTTCAAACTTCGTTTCCTAATTATCCTACTTACAATCTACATGAGAGAGTTAAGAAAATGCTTGCTGCCATGTAATTAATCAGAAGTATTCTATGATAATGAGTTTCAAACAGATTACCATAATTCTAAAACAATGGTCACCTAAGACAAATTAGGAACTGGTGTATGAAAGACAGTCTCTTTCCATTTAGCTTCCATTTATTTAGGGAGATGGGAATGCATTGATGGGTCAGTTCGTGGGAATTTTTTTTAGAATGGAGTGAATACAAAACATGCTGGAGTGAAATGAAGCATAAACAGGCAGAAAATGGAGAGGGCAATAACGTCATAGGGCTTGCCACATTCTGAACATGTTATTGTTCAGAATGTGGCACATTATCTATATGGAAACTCTGATATTGATCAAAGGTATTCATGAAAATCAAACTCTTGCTTTCAAGCCATAAAACACATTAATACTCCATGGTCTTTGTTTCTGAGAGATGCAAAATGCAGTTATGAGTAAGGAAGATATTATACAAGCATTTATGTCTATTATTTTGAGAAAAATAATAGTCCTTGGGAGGCAAAGAGAATGAAGGTAAACGCTGTAGAGTCATTACAGATCTGGCAGAGCGGGTATACAGCCATCATGATTTATGAAGGGTTCATAATATGTTACTATGCATGGTAAATACCTGCTAGGTGTAAAGTTTTATTTTTTTTTCTTCTGCATATAGACCAAAAGCTTTGCCAACTGGGTTTACCTCACCAAAAAATGACTAAAATCACTGTTCATCTTGCTTCTGTTGTTTCCAACAGATAGATGAAAATATCCCCAAATATCTAATTCTAGACTACAATAATATAATCTGAAATAGAAAGATTAATGCCAAAAAGTTTTGTTCCAGCAATTTCCTATCTAATCCAGCTTTTGAATTTATAGCCCAAATTCTGCAGGCCATCCAAACTGTTTACTTGAGGAAAAAACTACTCACTTATCAATGGCGACCCAATCAGTCTCTGAGGTAATTTCCTTCCTTCCCACCAGCCCAACTGAGGAGAATTTATATGGCATTTCATAAACCCCTGAGCTGGCATAAGTCTTTGATTTTTTTAAAAAAGAAATTATTGAGGGATGCCATGGTGTTAAGAATCATCAACAACTTAGTAGGAACTTACCACAACAGACAATAGTAAAAGTGGGGAGGAGAATCAGCAACCAGGGCAATAGAGGAGAAAACAGAAAGTATTTTAATTAAGGAAAATCAAAAAACAAATAAGCAGCATTTGGCAGCAAATAAAGGCAAACAAACATTCTACAAAATAAGAACTGGCTAAAAAGCATGCAATAGGGGATTAAAGGCCACATTGGGGGAAATGTCCAGCAAGAGGAGATGTCAAGTGCAAAGCGGTGAACAAGAACATAAACCATGGGTGTGTTTTATCATGCAGTAAAACATTCTTTGACTACGTTAAAACTGTAACTGAGGAGAGGATGTATTTCAGGGGTCGATTTAGCATCACACACATTGAAAAGTCTCCCCTTAAGCTGTCCTCCATTAACTGGTCACCAAACAGCCATATAACAGGGAGTGTCTCATCTGTCCCTTTGTATCTGTTTGTCTCTTGCAACAGATTTGTGCCAACTACAGGTAGTCCTCAACGTACAGCTACAATCAAGCCCAACATTTATGTTGCCGAGAAATTTGTTAATTTTATGACTTTTCTATTTGTTAATTGTCGAATCACTGCAGTTGTTAAATGAGTAACATGGTGGTTAAATGAATCTGGCTTCCCCAGTGAATTTGCTTGCCAGAAGTTCACAAAAGATGAACCTGNTGTGGGGGCGATATGCTGACTCTGTAAACCGCTTAGAGAGGGCTGAAAGCCCTATGAAGCGGTATATGAGTCTAACTGCTATTGCTATTGCTATTGTGACCTTCCTAGCAGGGACAGCCAAAGTTTAACAATCACATGGCTCACTTAACAATGTGTGATTTAACGTGTGATTCACTTAAAAGATTGCAAAATTGGGTATGACTCAACTGTTTTGCTTAGCAATGGAAATTGTGGTCGTTAGTCAAGGACTACCTATATGGAAAATGGCACCATCTTACCCAGTAGGTTACAGTAGGTATAGTTATGGTGGTTTTTTTTTCCATTCAGGCGGTCTTTGGGTAAAAATGTGAAATGTTATATTAGAATGACCTGTGACAAGCAGCAGGTAGAACAGCCTTGTATAATTGGGGTATTTTTCTATTTATCAAGGGCTGAAGAGCTTCCTTGAGACGATGATAATTTCTTTCAAGTTCCCGCTGGTACTCTTTTTGATCGGGACCAATCAAGCTTTTGTTTTTGCGTAGTGCGTCCTCACACCTAGAACACATTACAATGCATTTTAAGTCAGCAAATGATAATAAACATATTAGATGAGAATTAAACATTTTGTCAATTTATCTTCATTCATCCTTAAGCTTCCCAGATAATGCTATATCCGTCTGCTTGAAAGTCAATTTCACATAAAATCAATGCAGGTTGCTTTTTTGGGGTAGTTATACTGTACTGCTGAAGCTAGTTTTTCAACACCATAGTTTCTCTATATTTTGGCACAGTTGCTACCAAATAATCTGGACATTGTCTTTTTCTAATATAGAGAGCTTTTTTGGGGGGGCGGGGCGGGAATGAAACCAGTGTACTGTCTATGCTATATGTTTGGCCTCCACAGCATTTTACAAATATAAATAGGTAGCAATTGACTCAAATATAAGAATGATTCTGCTTTTTCATTAAAACAAAAGACTGACATTTCAGTGATTTCTCAAAGTTGTATTGCATTGTATTAAGAAAGTATCTCCTATTCATTAGACTGAAAAGTGGAAAGGGACTCGAATAACATAAGATAAGCAATGACCACCCAAAAGATGTTTTTTCCCCCTTTGGCTAATTCAGGAGAAAAAAGTACAAGTGTTTACAAGAAATAACACAATACCTTTTTGTAAAGTCTTTGAAACAAAGCCGTAGTTTGTTATGGTGGCGGAAGAGTTTAGGATCATTGGGTATTTCAGATAAAAATACTTGTGCAACCTCCAGTGGCCCCTTAACAGAAAAGAGAACACAATAATTTTATAGACACAAAATGTTTAATAAAATGTAAGATTTTTTTAAACATTATATATCAAAAGCCCTTAGAAAGACAACACAAACTGCATTACAGCGAAAGGAGTAAATTGCCTTTAATATATTGGAGAGAGAGTATTTTTGGACTAATTTGAGAGGTTGGTGTTTATTTCAAATTATGCTACTTCAGTTGTACGATGCTAAGCAACACAAAGCTACAACCTTGAACTATCTACAATATTGCAAAAATCAATAAAACTTCAGAATATAAAACCAACAGACTAATTAATAAAGTCACTTCTTAGTTATATTACTGGCAGGACAGGGCAATGGCTCCTTTATGATCTGTGGATTGCAACTCCCAGAGTTCCTCAGCCTACAACATTGACTTCATTTTTTAGTTGATCTGGGTATATTGCCCAACTCTCAAAGATGCTGGGCGGGTCACAACAATCAAATAAAAAATTGCAAGCATGATGAAGTGAGGGTCTCATTCTCCCTTGCCAAAAACCTGGGCAAAGGACCAGGTCTTCCCAGTGGAGGCCCTCTGGATCTTGGATAATTGTGGCTCTTTAGGGAGTTGAAATTTTACCTCCCCTTTTGCCAAGCATAATAACTGTTTGCTATCATCAGGGGCCAGAATGTAAACCATCCTAAAATAGAAAATTACCCACTCTTTTTACCTCCATATATGCTAACAGGAAGAAATCTGAACTGTGCTAAGATTGTCTGGTAATGTATTACATCTGCAAATGATTATGGGTGCATAAATTCAAATTTCTAGTTTGTGCTCAAACATATTCAATAGCATCCTCCCCAGAAGAGAAATTAAAAACAATATGAGAATTATCCTGAACATCCTTGAATATTATGAAGTGCATAATGAAAAATAGGTTT